TTCTCTTTCTCTCTCATAAATAAATTAGGAAGAAAGTAAATAAAATAGGACACCAGGATTATCTAGCTCCTGTTCCACCAGCCTCTGGCCCCTTATTGGGCCCACTCAGCTGGTTCACCCAGCACCCTTTGTCTCTCCAGCTGACTCTACAGTGACCGGTGGCAACTCCGCTGGGGAGCTGTGTGTCTTTCCCTTCATCTTCCTGGGCAAGGAGTACTCAACATGCACCAGGGAGGGCCGCGGAGATGGGCACCTCTGGTGCGCCACCACCTCGAACTTCGACAGAGACAAGAAGTGGGGCTTCTGCCCGGACCAAGGTGGTCAGGGTTCCAAGGTTGGGGGCAGCAGTGTTGGGGGAGGGATGGCCAGGGCTGGGAGCTCGGCTGGGCTCACATCTCAAGGTCCCTTTTCCCTCCAGGATACAGCTTGTTCCTTGTGGCAGCCCATGAATTCGGCCATGCTCTGGGTTTAGATCACTCATCGGTGCCAGAGGCACTCATGTACCCCATGTACAGCTTCACGGAGGGCCCCCCCCTGCATGAGGACGATGTGAAAGGCATCCAGCATCTGTACGGTGAGGTTATTGGGCAGGGAGGGTGGTGCCTTTGCTCTTGTACCGAGAATGGGGAAATGGGGATCAGCGAAGTGGGGACCCCTCAACATTTATCTGCGGAAGAGCCTGGGGTCAGTGGGTCCAATTGCTGTCTGGTCAGTGCTTGGAGAAGATGATAAAGAGCCCAGATTCTAGAGTGAGACAGATATGGGTTCAAAAGCCAGTGCAGCCACTTCCAGGCTAGGTGACCTGTGGTACGTGACTTCACCCCTCAATTTTCTCACCTGTGAAATGGGGCTAATAATGTTACCTGCCTCATTGGGTGGTGAGGAGGTTTGAGTGAGTTCCAATATTGTCTGACATATAGTAAGCACCGTATAAGTGTTTAATATTTGTATTGTTATCATCACTATGATCATTAGTATTATTCCCTCATTTTAAAAATGGGAATATTAAAGAATCTATTTGATTTTTTTTAAGTCAAATGAGCTAATGTAATTTTATAAAGCTCTTAGCACTAAGTTTGCCACTCAGTTTGAGTGCTCAAAACCCAGTTCTTTCCCACTAGCCTGGAGAGGGGGAGAGCTCCTGCATGTCTTGTGTTCATAGGGCCTGGCCCGGACCTGACATAGCCCAGGGATTAGATAAGCATGATCGGAATGGAAGGTGAATGTATGAAAAAAAACCAGCCTGTGATTGGGGGAAGGTAGGCTCCAACATCTAGAGTGAAGACAGTGACTGCCAGGGGCCTCACTGATGCGTTTTGGGGAATATACGTTCCACCAGCACAGGTGTATGTAGCAATAGAAGGTCTCATCCAGTGTCTCTCTTTAGGTCCTCGCCCTGAACCTGAGCCACGGCCTCCAACCACCACCACACCTGAATCCCAGCCCACGGTCTGCGCTACGGGGCCTCCCACCACCCGCCCCCCAGAGCTCCCCACTGCTGGCCCCACAGGCCCCCCTTCAGCTGGCCCCACGGGTCCCCCCACTGCTGGCCCTTCTGAGGCCCCTACAGTGTCTTTGGATCCAGCAGAAGATGTGTGCAACGTGAACATTTTCGACGCTGTTGCGGAGATCGGGAATCTTCTGCATTTCTTCAAGGATGGGTGAGGGGGCAGGGATATGTGGCTGGGGGAGGGGACTCAGAGGAGGGCCCTGCCTGCTCCTCTTCACCCACTGGCCTTCGGTTCAAAGTTCAGTGGCCCGCTGGTCCCTTCTCTCATTCCCAGGAAGTACTGGCAGTTCTCTGAGAACCCAGGACGCCAGGTGCGGGGCCCCTTCCTTATCACCAACAAGTGGCCTGCGTTGCCCCGCAAGCTGGACTCCGCCTTTGAGGACCCGCTGACCAAGAAGACTTTCTTCTTCTCTGGTTAGTTTCCTCCTTTCTCCTCCCCCGCCCCCGCCCTCCCCATCCTTGCGGATCTAGGAAGACCCGCAGATC